GTGAAATTCCACCTTCAAACAGCAAGAGAAAGAAAGAAGGTAAAGAAAAAGGAAAGAAAATAACTACCAAGGAGTGTGGTTGTGGCTGTCTGTCCAAGGCTGCAACTATTGTGATCTTTTGATTTAAAAAAAGGGGGGGTGGTGGTGAGAGGGTGTGAAGGAAAGAGCAAAGAGGTTCCCCAATGGTGGAGGGCTTGTGAGGAACCCCGGGAAGGCAGTCTTCAGAGCACAGACTGCCTTAGGTGCAGCGCAGCTGTCTGACACCGCTTCCTGGAGGGCTCCTCACTGGTGACTCGGTTAGCCTTCTGTGGACCCCAGTGGTGCTGAGGGCCTCACTAGCTACTCCCCTCTGCTGCGGTGCCTTCCTCATTCATGCAGCCCATTCCGGCCCTGCCACAGTGACTTTCCCCTAACTTTGTCAATTCACCTGTGAGGATGGGGGAGGGACGCTGCAAGGACCAGGGAGCAGAGACTTAAATTCCGGTGGTAGTGAAGAGAAAAGCCCTGAAGCTTCCCCTGAGGAGACTTTTATCTTCCCTACTATGTAGCCCGATGCTCCCCTCCCTCACCCCTCCATTTTAAGCCCGGATAACTCATCGGCGGGAAGCTTGGACCCCAGACAGCTCAGTACAACAAAAAGGCACAGAACTAGGGAAAGACTGCGTCCGGTGGCTGCAGCCTTTGCCATGGTTCCTTCCTGAGGCTCAGCACCCGACAGGTGTGACTGGAGCTGCGGGAGAGAATAGGGAAGTCCTCAGTATTGCCCCGAAGACGACCCCCCGCAAAAATTCACAAATTCCGGGCATCTGGACTATGAATTCAGGCCTCCTGGTCCTCCAGACACACGGAGTTCCCCTATTTTCCTACACCTCTTTGGGGTCCCTCCAGGGCCTCTGCTCCTCCCTCCCAGAGCACTGCGATTTTGTCACACTGGGCCAGGGAGCACTGTGGCTCTGGTCTCTGGAGGTTTCTGACTTGCTAGCTCATTGCCTTGCTCCTTTGGGGCATGGAGGGCACTGTTGTCCTGGGCTCCCACAGCCCGGGGTGCCTTCATCTCAATCACCCTGGGACCCTAGGCAACAGAATCAGGAAAGGCAGAGACAGAATAAAATCTGTGACTTCATAAAGCAAGCGGGGGTTCAAGATTATAATGTGGAAATCCACAGAGACAGCTGACCTGGGCTAATAGGAGCTCAGGGACTCTCGACTGACAGCTGAGGAACCTGCATAAGACCGAAGTAGGTCCTCTGAATGTGGGTGACAGTTGTGTGGCTTGAACTTCTTGAGGGGCCAATGGGACCATGACTGTTCCCTTTGAATGAACTGGCTTTTTGGAGCCGATTCCCTATGCTGGGATACCTTGCTCTGCCTTGATGCAGCGGGGAGGGCCTGGTTCTGCCTCGACTTGGTATACTAGACTTTGTTGACTCCCCAAGGAAGGCCTTACTCCTTCTAAGGAGTAGATGGGGGTGGGATGGGTGGAAGTTGGGGGGAGGGAGAAGGGGAGGAAATGGAAACTGGGGTTGGTATGTAAAATAAAAAAAAAATTCTTTTTAAAAAAACAGTCAGTGTCTTCAGCTGGCATCTAGGCAGAGAGCAGCCCGAATCAGCATAATATATACAGGACCCGCCCTCTACTCACCCCATACCACGCCCACTCCGCTTAACCTATGAATCTCATTACTTCTGGGCTCCGCCCCTTCAGATGCTGATCAATCAGAAGGAAGCTCAAAGTTCCAAGGCCCCCTCCCTCCCCCCCCACCCCCACCTGGAGAAGGAGCTAGCAGGTTCCCTAGGGCGCCCTTCTCCAGGGCTGCACTCCCGGATTGTCAGGACTGTCTCAGCTCCTGTTGTCTGATGACACACAGGGACTGGGTGTATGGGGAGGGTGGGGGTGGGGAGATGTCTCCTCCACTGTCTGACCCCTAGGGCTAGCCTACCCCAGCACTTAGGTTTTTCTCCACCTCCCACCTCCCCTCTGGCCACTGACCTCCTCTTGGGGAAAAATTAAAACCGGCCCAACTTCTTGGACAAAAAACAATTGTAACTAGGGGATAAAAAACTTTCGGATGGTCCTTTGAACTTCCCAGGTTTTTTTTTGTTGTTGTTGCTTTTTTTTTTGTTTTTGTCCCCCCCCCCTTTTTTTTAAGATTAATTTATTATGTATACAGTGTTCAGCCTCCATGACTGCAGGTCAGAAGAGGGCACCACATCTCATTACAGATGGTTGTGAGCCACTATATGGTTTTTGGGAACTGAACTCAGGACCTTTGGAAGAGCAGTCAGTGCTCTTAACCTCTGAGCCATCTCTCCAGCCCCCTTTCCCCTTCTTCAGAGACACGTTTTCTCTGTGTAACCCTGGCTGTCCTGGAACTCATTCTAGACCAGGCTGACCTTAAACTCAGAGATTTGCACCCTCTGCCTTCAGAGTGCTGGGATTAAAAGCGTGCACCAGCACTTGAACTCCTCCATTTTTACAATTCATAAGACAAAGAATAAATTTAGAATATTACATGATCATAGGTGAATAAATGTGACTATGCAAACAGCGAGGACCCTCCAGTCAGGCTCCCTGCTTCTACTGTGATTTCTCACCAACATTACTATACTTGATCAAGACTGCCTTTTCTCTCTTCCTTTACACCCTGAAAGGGAACATTCCCCCCCCCCCCCCCCCCATTCTCTGTTCCTACTTTAAACAATCAACAGCCAATGTCCCTGTTATGGCCAAATCCATGAAGTCCCCCAATAGCCAACAAGTAGACAGAGTCCTGTATGTTAAAGGCAAAGAGCCTTTATTTTAAACAAGTTTGTAAATTTGTTCTCTCTGCATGTTTAACGTTTTGAATAAACACAAGATCCCCGAGTTCAGTTAGAATTGGGTTTTTATTTTAGTAAAGGTGGGGGTGAGGGGTTTTTGAGGTTCAGAACCCCTGGTTGGCTGATATTTGTCTGGGGGTGTCCTGGTGAGTGTGTGTTGGCAGGTGATCCTATCTACAGCAGTTGGAATATTAGGCATTTCCTTTGAATGGTCTGTTCTTGAGTGGTGGTTGGGTAATCTTGGCTTGTGGTTCTTCCTGCAACCAGGTATTGCTTCAGGGTAAACTACTGAGACTCAGGCCTCTTATTAATTTATGGATGGCCAAGTCCTACTCTGGCAGGTGATAATGGTTGGAAGTAAAGAACCTGCCCATACTTAGCTGACTGACACAGTTCCAATACCTCTGGAAAATTCTATCCTAGGGGATGAAAACTAGTCTCCCAATAGATCACTATTCTGTACTTAAGCACTTCAGTTGGTGCTGGTTAAATTTCCCGAGGTATTGGTCATTCGTTGTGTGGATGACATTCTCCTCTCCTGCTCATAAATCAGTACTTATGTGAGTGCTTAACTTTCATGGGAAACAAGATTAAAAGAGCAAAATTTGAACATAGCTTCATGTAACATACAAAACAATCATACTACAATTGCTTAGAATATATTATTACTTAGAATATATTATTACTTCACAACAATTTGGACATCATCCCCTCAGTTTAAAACTTAAAATCTTACAATCTAGGCGTTGTTTATTAGTTTTGTGCTTACCCTTGGTCTGACATAATTGGTCAGACTCTCTGTGAGTTTGAGGCCAGCCTGGTCTACAAAGCTATTTCTGGGACATTCAAGGATACACAAAGAAACCCTGTCTGGAAAAAAAACAAAATAAATAAAGAAACAAAACTAAAATGGGGCCCTGAGGTGGTGGCACATGCCTTTAATCCCAGCACTGGAGAGGCAGAGTTAGGTAGACCTCTTTGAATTTGAAGTCAGCGTGGTCTACAGATAGAGTTCCAGGACAGTCAGGGCTACAGAGAGAAACTCTGTCTAGGGAGGTGGGAGGTGCAGGAGGCATGTAGGTCCTTGTGCTCACTGATGAATACTAGGGAAATCAGGAATACTGAATGCACAGGGTCATCTCTTCAAAGAGAGATGTATAACCTGTTTTCTGCCCAGAAGGCTGGGACAGATGGGGTTAATAGCCTGGTGACCTCTGTGTTATATGTATGGTCAGACCACAACAGCTACCTCAGAACCATATCCTGATATTGTTTATCTCAGTCAATCGTAGTAGAATCTCTATCTTGAATTTGTATCCTTAGATAATCTGTAGATCCTATCCTTATGGAAGATGTCACTTGCACTTGAGAAGAGTTTCCATGTAGTCCTGTTTTAAGCTCTGCTGTGCACAGAGATGGAGTTAATAGTCACTAGGAAACATTTTTTCCCTATTTTCTATGTTTAAATATGTCTAAAATAAACTACCTGGTGTCAGACTTTCAAAGTCTGAACCAATACTGCCCACTGAGTCAGGTTAAACAGGGATTCCTTCTTGCTTCCTGTGGATCAACCCTCTGCTGGTGGAGGTGTTAGCAGGGGCCCCACAGGTGTCTTTCGAAAGCAATCTCATGGGGTGAGTGCTGCCTTGTGGGTGGAACATCTCACCGCAAGCAGGCTCAGGAGTGAAAGCTTGGACCAATTTTTTACTGGTTTCCAAAATTAACTTGGAGAAGGCTGACTTAAGAGCCCAGTTCTGTCTTGGACCCTTCCTGAGCTCTGAAGTCAGTAGGCACAATTCCCAGGAGACGTTAAGGCCTTACTGACCATTTAAGCTATGGACAAGAGAAGGCAGGTCCATCATCTGATCCGATTGACAAGGGCAGTCTGAACCTAGAATGATCTTATGTAAGAGAGTCTTGGTCACTGTCAGAGCAGTGTCCCCTCTGAGTAGCAAAGGCTTCTATCCAGTTGAGAAGGTGTCAACACACACAGATACTTAAACTTGGGTGTGAGAGGCTTGATTTCTGTGAGGTCAAACCTCCATTTCTTATCAGGGTTAGTCCCCTCAGATGAACAGAGTCCAGGCTACATAGAGAAACCCTGTCTCCACCTCCAACCCCCTCCAGACCAAAATAAGGAATACTGAATTCAACAGGTCTTTACACAGATTGACAAAGAACAAAGAGAATATTACAGCTAATTTATTACAAATGAAATAGCCATTGCCACAAACCTTGAGAAGTAAAATAATTACAAGAGAATTCTCTGAGAATTTTATGTAAAAGTCACACAACCCAGTCATATACATATTTGTAGAAACAGGAACATATGCAAAGCAATCACAAGAAGAAAGTTCATAGACATCTGAGTAGAAGGATGGCATTTTTTAAAGATGCCAAGTCAGCAATCAGATGGCTTCCAGTAATGAAAATAAAGGACAGACATTACCAGTGACTTCAACTAAACAACTGGTCCTCAATTTCTCTTTCTTAGGATTAGGTGTTACAGGTTTCCTTTAGTGATGCCTGAGATATCTGAGTATGGCCAGTCTACTTAATGCCACTATAGTTATAAATTAATTAGGGAGAAATAGTGCATCTTACATTAGTGATACTTTAGTAGCACAACATAAGAGCTCAAAATCCAAGAATCAGTCAGGTGTGGTGCACACACCTTTAAGCCCAATGTGGGGGATGTAGAGGCAGGAAGATCTCTGAGTTCCAGGTCAGCCTGGTCTATGTAGTGAGTTCCATTCCATGTTGTTCTACATAGTTATGCCCTACCTCAAAAACATGTTTTCAGTAGTGATCTTTCCATATTTTCAAGTCCTTATGCTGTCACTGTGTGTATGTGTCACTGTGTATGTGTGTGTGTGTGTGTGTGTGTGACGTGTGTGTGAGTGCTAGTGCACTTGTGCAAAGTGTCCCTGTGCAGTCAGAGGAAACCAGTGTGAGTTCACTCTCCTTCCATCCCAGGTCTGGATGTGCAGAAGAAGCTTCTCTGACACAGTGGAGAGCAGCGCTGACCCAGACCTGCACCAGGAGGATGTGGACTCAGCAGCACCAGCTCCCAGGACCTTCTGCCTTTCACTGCCAGATTGTCACTGCAGGGACAGCCAGCCTGTCGGACTGAGCAGCTTCCCGGTTCTCTGTTCTCACTGTGAATGTGGGCATTGCTAGGCTACCTAGTGTATGACTAACCTATAATAGTAATAATATTATAAAATATTACATTTCTCTTATGACTATATTATATATATATAGACATTTAAAAATAAGAGACATATTTTCTTTTGTTCTAGAGATGGCTGCCTAGTAAGGTGTAGTTATAATACATATCTACTAAAAATCAATATTTTTTAACAGAATTTGACTTCCAAGCAAATACCTTAGCAGAGGTGGGGCCTTTCTAGTCTGTCTCACATTGACCTAGATACACAAGAGTAAAAAGTTCACAATCCCACTAAGGAGATCTGGCTGTCCTGTTTCCTCTGCTAAGGATGTGTACACAGCCATGTCCTTTTTCAGATCTCTAGTTCAAGTAGTTCCATGTTAAGGGCAAATTCAACCAGGGAGCCCCAAGAGTACAAGGGGATAAGAAAGGGCCCAAGTGAATACACAGAGTGAAGACCATGAAATGCTGTGTCCGCAGCATCCTGATTCATCTGGTGGAGGCTGATGGAAAGGGAGAGTGGTGGCACCAGATGAACTCTCATGACTTCTCTGGAGCATCTTCAACCTGCAGCAAGGAAACACATCTATTGAAGGATCTGAGGAGAGCCTGGGTCAGTTCTCCTGGGTGCCCTGTACCAGTCATCACCACCCCACAGCCACCCTCACTGAGAGTCATTCAGTCCCCTACTCTATCATCCCATCCTGGATCCCCTACTGTCTTCCTCCTTCTTTCCCTTGTCCCAGAGCCCCAGGCCCTGCTGCAGACCTGGAGATGAGAATAAAGTGGTGATGACTAGCTCTGCTTCCTGACTCAGGGCATGATGGGAGGGGCTGGAGGAGTCGTGGGGACCCCTATCCAGCCTTCTTCTCCATTCTTTCTCAGCCTTAGAGTGACACACACAGGTGTGGATGTGACTGTCTCAGCCCCACCTTGTCATCTGAGCAGCCCAGATAGGAGCAGACTCCAGCAGCAGCTCAGTCCACCTGCCTGCAGTGGGGCCACTGCTCCAGGGGTTCTGGAGGCCGCTGCTCTATTCATTGTGAGTTTATGTGTATGAGCATAAGCTTGCATGCCTGTAAGTGCACTGTATAAATGCCTGGTGTCTGTGGAGAAGGGGCTGGATCTCTCAGACCTGGAACTGTATGGTTGCCATGTGGGTGCTGGGACTGGAACCCAAGTCCGACACAAACAGGAAGTGGTCTTGCCCCTGTACCATCTCTTTATTTATGTCTTCTTTATCTTTGTCTGTGGTATAGAATCTTCTTTTTCCTATACATTGAGTAGAGCTACCACATTATTCATTTGTGTTCCTAATGTTTCCACATCTGTATCAGGGGACCTCCCTGATTAGGAACCTGCTCTGATCAGGCACCTGCTGTGTTCCCTTCTCATTCCCCACTGCTCTGTGACATGATTCCTGTCCTGTCAAGGGTGAGCGTGCACACGCTATTGCTAGCAGGTGACATGAACTCCAGATCTCCTGCCTCCTTTCTCAATAAGATGCTATAGATGAGAAACAGCATCAAGTCTTCAGGAATTCATTCCTGCTTCCTCACTCCTCTCCCATCTTTGTCTCACCCCACTCCCAGCCATGGCCCTCAGTACCTTCATTGTCAAGGATTCTCCTCAGAGACCACAGAAGAAGGGAGTAGCGGAGGATTATCAGTGGGACAGAGATGTTGGGCTTGATGGCCAGGGACAAAAGCTGGTCCACATGTGGAGTAGTGGTTGTTGAGGCTGAAGTAGAAACACAAGTTGAGTCTTTGACCAGACCTCAAATCTGAGGAAATCTCACCATAGCGTCTGGGTTGTCTAGCAATTCAGCAATACACAGAGTTCCACCCCCATTGCTATGTAACAACTGTTTAGGTGGATCCTGAGTAGGAAGGGAGAGATAGCATGTTCCGTGACCTAATAAGACTCAGGCAGCTATGGTAGGAGAAGCAGGATAATAATGGAGCCTCATCTTTCGTCTGGCAGGATAGGAGGCATGAGATGACCCGTGAGGATGGTGCCAGGGAAGAAGAAAGATCAGGTGAGAGGAAAAGCAACAGTGAGTGCAGAATGAGGAAAAGGCCAGGAAACACAAGGATGCTCAGACTGTGACAGCCAGCGAGAACCGCAGTGAGAGAACCATGTATCCACAATTAATGAGATAGGAGAGGGAGAGAAATGAAATGAATGGCGGAAAAATGACCATCAACCCAAGGACTCATGGTGATTACATTACTACACACACACACACACACACACACACACACACACACACACACCCTAATCTGCAGTGAGTTTCTTCCCCTTCTTCCCAGTTACCTGTATGCTCCAGCTTTTCTTCCAAGAGTGACTTGATCATCTCCTTAAGCCAGGCCCTGCAGTCCCCCTGTGAGGTCCTGGATAAGAAGTCTGTTAACTCCTTGTTTTTCTGCCACATCTCTTTCATCCATCTGGATGCAGGGTCAACTTCAGTCCACTTTCCAGTGCTTGAGTCAACATGGACCATTTTGTGTCCATTGAGGTCAAAGTCCCAGGATCCATTGAAATGTCCATCTCCTTCATGCCAACAACACAGCCTGGCCTGCAGAGAGAGGGGCTCTGTGCCCATTGCAAAGAGATCAGCCACTGCTCTTAATGAATCCTGCCCCTTCCCCTCTCTTCCCATCTTCTGACCTTGCTCTCCCCTAAAGCCTTGCTGCAGGACCACTTAGGTTTGACTACCAGTGATTCATTCTTTTCCTCCATGAAAACAATGAATGTTCCTAACCTGTCACAAATCCTGTTCTTTCCTTCAGGGGCACATCTGATATGTTCTTTTATTTAGTTTGTGATAGTGCGGATTGACCTATGGCCTCAGGCATGCCAGGCAAGCACTCTACCCCAAGAATATGGGGCCATTTGAAGCTTACCTCTGAATATCTTCTTCTCCTGCTTCATGTGAACCACTTGTTCTTTGAGCAGGTCAACTCCATCTTTCAGAGTGTCAACCTGTTTGTCACAGATGTTTGTGGCATTCAATTGGTTCCCCCAAACACCAATGGCTTGGCAATTGCTGCTGCTGTTGTATGAAAGAAAAGTGTCTTCGTTCAGTTGGCCTTGGACTTTGTGCCACCATGGTCCAGACTTTGACTTGCTAACAGTGAAGCTGTAGCAAAGATAAGCAGCATCTGTGAAGGAAACATGCAGCGAAGTTAGGGATGAGGAACAGGGGCTCAGGGACAGTCTCTGCCTGTGGATCTAGAAAATCCTTTGGAAGGGAGTCTTTTAAAAAGGGAGAAATAAATAAATTTCTTAAGTAAGTAAAGTAAATAAAATAAAATGGCTGACTGACGTGGGAATTCCCTCTGTATGCTTGAATACCATTAATGAATAAAGAAGCTGCTTTGGACCTATAACAGGGCAGAATTTAGGTAGGCAGGAAAGACAGAACTGAATGCTGGGAGAAAGGAAGGTGGAGTCAGAGAGAAGACGTGTAGCCCTGCTGGAGAGCTGACTGAGCTTAAACTGAGCTAAGTAAAACATAGTCAGTCTATCTCTCTAGCCTGAAGATGCAGGTTATGGTGTGGCCAACCCCTGATCTCCACCGACAATTTGTGGAATGATGCTTAAAAGAAATCCCACACTAGCTCAGAATTGAGAAATAGATGGTCCTTTATTTAGGGGTAGACTCACAAATCAGACTTCTCTGCTTGAATGGAGATCAGAAAACGAATCCCACAACCACAACAGAGAGTCCGGATGCATGCTCTACATGGGCATATATGGTATAAGAAGCCACGCCCCAGAGGGTGGGTAACCTCTAGCTGTAAGACTTCCTACAGCAACAATCTCTTATCTGTTATCACATGACCTTATTAGGGGTTGGCCCTGTCAGTTATAGCAGGAAAACTTCAGGATGTCTTCTCTTGATCTGTTCATCCTGGAGAATCTCCAGAAGCTGCTCATGTAGACCGTGTGGAGACAGGATGGTGCGTGAGGCTGTGGGGCAGAGTGGAGCAGGGTGAGGATGGAACAGAAGTTGCTTGGACACCATTTTTACTGATATGTACTCTCAGATCATAGACTTGAACATCTTTGCTTGTTAGCTCTAATTGCCAGTTTGATCCAGCCTAGACTCACCTAAGAAGAGAGTGTCTACTGACGGCCTGTTTCTATTAATGATGTAGAAATGCCCAACCACTGTGGGTGTTACCATTCCCTGGTAGGTGGTCTCTGGTTGGATAAGAAATATAGCTCTGCAGGAACTAGTAATCCAGACAGCAAGCAGCATCCTCCATGACTCCTGCTGTGCCTCTCTGGCTGTGAAGTGAGTTCCTGGGTCCTAGATAATGCTGTGTGGAATAGCACGTGGGCCAGCCTCTGAGTATCTGCCCTGATATCCCTTTGGGACAGACAGAAGCAGGATATGACCTGCCTCACTGAAAAAGGTACCGAGCCATGTGGCTGCCATAGATAAGAATAATGGGTTAATATACGTTATAAGAGCTAATATGAAGCCTGAGTTAATGGGCCAATCAGTTTATAATCTATGGATACCTCTGTGTGATTTTCTTTGGAGCTAAATGGCTGTGGAAACTGGGCAGGATGGAAACCCCAACAAGCCCACTCCTCATGTTACAGAATGGCACTCACTACCAGAAGGCCCTCATTTTACAGAAGGTCACTTCATACTCATAACAGGAACAATCCATCAAGATGAAGTCTCAGTCCTGACCATCTATGCCCCTAACACAAGAAACATTACTAAAACTTAAATTGCACTTCAAACTCCACACAGTAATAGCAGGGGACTTCAACACTCCACTCTCGGCAATTGACAGTAGCTTAACAGGGAAATAAGAGAACAGATGTCATGATTCAAATGGACTTAACAGACATCTATAGAATATTCCACTCAAACACAAAAGAATATATCATCTTCTCAGCACCTCCTTGAACCTTCTCTAAAATTGATCACATACTCAGTAACAAGGCAAACCTCCACAGATACAAAAAAAATTGGAGTAACCCCTTGTGTCTTATTGGATCACCATGGATTAAAGTTAGAATTTAACAACAATACTACTCTCAGAAAGTCTACAAACTCATGGAAATTGAACAGTGAACTACTGAACCACCCCTGGGTCAAGGAAAAAATAAGAAAGAATTAAAGACTTCCTAGAATTTAATGAAAATGAAGGCACAACATATCCAAACCTATGGGATACTATGAAAGCAGTGCTAAGAGGAAAGTTCATAGCACTAAGTGTCCACATAAAGAAAATGGAGAAAGCTCACATTAGTGACTTAACAGCGCACCTGAAATCTTTACAACAAAAAGAAGTAGACTCACCCAGGAGGAGTAAAAGACAGGAAATAATCAAATTGAAGGCTGAAATCATCAAAATAGAAACAAAGAAAACAATACAAAAATTCAATAAAACAAAGAGCTGGTTCTTTGAGAAAATCAACAAGATAGACAAACCCTTATTTAAACTAATCAAAAGGCAGAGAGAGAATATCCAAATTAACAAAATCAGAAATGAAAAGGAGGACATAAAAACAGATACTGAGGAAATTCAGAGAATGATTAGGTCATACTACAAAAACCTGTACTCCACAAAATTGAATAACATAAAAGAAATGGACAATTTTCTAGATAGATACCATATACCAAAATTAAATCAAGACCAGATGAGCAATTTAAATAGACCTATACATTACAAGGAAATAGGAGCTGTCATCAAAAGCTTCCCAACTAAAAGTAACCCAGGGCCAGATGATTTTAGTGCATAATTCTACCAGAACTCCCAAGAAGAGCTAATACCTCTACTCCTCAAAGTCTTCCACATAATAGAAACAGAAGGAACATTGCTAAACTCTTTTTATGAGGCTACAGTTACCCTGATACTGAAACCACACAAAGACTCAACCAAAAAAGAGAATTACAGACTAATCTCATTCATGAACATGGATGCAAAAATACTCAATAAAATACTGGCCAACTGAATAGAAGAACACATAAAAAAAATCATCCACCATGATCAAGTCAGCTTTATCCCAGAGATGCAGGGCTTGTTCAACATATAAAAATCTATCAATGTAATTCATCATATAAATAAGCTAAAAGAAAAAAAACCCATATGTTCATTTCATTAGATGCTGAAAAAGCATTCAGCAAAATCTAACACCCCTTCATGATAAAGGTCTTGAAGAGATCAGGGATACAAGGAACATATCTAAATCTAATAAAGCAATATAGAGCAAGCTGACAACCAACATCAAATTAAATGGAGAGAAACTCAAAGTGATCCTGCTACAATCAGGAACAAGACAAGGCTGTCCACCTTCTCCATATCTCTTCAACGTAGTTCTTGAAGTTTTGGCTATAGCAATAAGACAACTAAAGGAAATCAAAAACAAAAGAAAGAAGTCAAACTTTCATTATTTGCAGATGATATGATAGTATATATAAGTGACTCCAAAAACTCTAGCATAGAACTCCTACAGCTGATAAATACCTTCAATGATGTGGCAGGATACAAGATCAACTAAAAAATATCAGTAGCCTGTAAGAAGAGAGAGGGCCTGCTTCTCATCCCGGCTGCCCAGCTAGCTTACACCCAAAATAACCACACAGAAATTGTATTAATTAAATTACTGCTTAGTCCATTATCTCTAGCCTATTATTGGCTAACTCTCACATCTTGATTTAACCCATATCTAATAATCTGTATGTCACCATGAGGTCGTGGCTTACCGGGAAAGATTTAGTATGTTTGACCTGGCATTTCCGTCTCAGTGGTGGCTCTCTCTCTATGGCAGCTCTTTCTCTGTCTCTGCTTTTTTCCTCCCAGAATTTAGTTTTGTCTTCTCTGCCTATTTAAGTTTTGCCCTATCAGGACAAGCAGTTTCTTTATTGATTAACCAATGAAAGCAACACATAAACAGAAGGACCTCCTACACCAGTAGCCCTCCTATACACAAATGATAAAGAAGCTGAGAGGGAAATCAGAGAAACATCACCTTTAATAATAGCCACAAATAGCATAAAATATCTTGGGGTAACACTAACCAAGGAAGTGAAAGACCTATTTGACAAGAACTTTAAGTCTTTGAAAAAAGAAATTGAAGAAGATACCAGAAAATGGAAAGATCTCCCATCCTCTTTGATAGGTAGGGTCAACATAGTAAAAATGGCAGTCCTACCAATAGCAATCTACAAATTCAATTCAATCCCTATCAAAATCCCAACACAAGTCTTCATAGACATTGAAAGAACAATAATCAACTTCATTTGGAAAAGCAAAAAAACTGAATAACCAAAACAATCCTGCACAATAAAGGAACTTCCAGAAGCATCACCATCTGTGATATCAAGCTCTACTACAGAGCTACAGCAATGAAAACAGCTTGGTACTGGCATAAAAACAGAGAGGTTGACCAATGGAATCGAATTGAAGACCCGGATATTAATCCATACACCTATGAACATCTGATTTTTGACAAAGAAGCTAAGATTATACAATGGAAAAAAGAAAGTACCTTCAACAAATGGTGCTGGCATAACTGGACATTAACATGTAGAAGAATGAAAATAGAGCCATATCTATCCCTATGTACAAAACTCAAGTCCAAATGTATTAAGGACCTAAATATAAATGCAATCACACTGAACTTTATAGAAGAAAAAGCGGGTAGTAGTCTTCAATGCATGGGCTCAGGAGAACACTTCCTAAATGTAACCCCAATATCACAGACACTGAGAGCAATAATAAATAAATGGGATTTCCTGAAACTGAGACGCTTCCTTTAAGCAAAGGACACAGTCAATAAGACAAAAAAGCAGCCTATTGAATGGAAAAAGATCTTCACCAACCTTACATCAGACAAAGGATTTATCCCCAAAATATATAAAGAACTCAAGAAATTAGACATCAAAATTTTAAATAACGCAATTAAAAATGGTGTATAGAACTGAACAGAGAATTCTCAAGAGAAGAATCTCAGCTGGCCAAAAGATACTTAAGGAAATGTTCAACATCCTTAGCCATTAGGGAAATACAAATCAAAACAACTTTGAGATACCATCTTGTACCTTTCAGAAATGGCTAAGATCAAAAACATCATAGCTTATATTGGAGAGGATGTGGAGTAAGGGGAACACTCATCCATTGCTGGTGGGAAT